TGTTGTTCAGCATCTTAGCTGTAGAGGGCAGTGTCACTGGCCCTCATATGTGGGATCCGAACCAGGGCTCTCTGGCATCCCAAGCCAGCTCTTAACCAATGCGCCACTCAGCCGGCCCTTGGGTATCACAACTTTAATACAGTTTTCCTTTCTTAAAATGTGTACACATTTTTTTTGGCACCCTCTGTATATAACATACATACTGAAATATATATTATATATCCAATTATATATTATATATTACATTAAAACATGTATTTCAAAGTTGCTAATATGTAGCAAGATTTATTACACTTTCCTATTTCTTAACCTATTATTCTATGATCCAAGAGAAAAGATAAAATAGGAGAAAAATGAATTCCTAAACTAGTGAACTTTTATAAGCAACTCAACACAGAGCTTATAAAGTCTCTCGTATGTTGGCAAGTTTAACATGAAACAAAAGACTAACTATCCTGATAGGAAAACATAAAGAAAAGTTAGTTGAGCGGTGAACTATCAATAACAAATAGTCTATATATCTGAACGTTTTAAATTAATAATTTAGTATTGAAAATACTGGAAAAGTATTGCATATTTTGTGACAACAGCACAACAGCAGATCTACGTATAAAACACTGATTGGTTGGCTTATCATTTTACAGCTGAGAAAACCCAGGCCCCAGGTTTGTAAAATGACTCCAACAAGGTCACAAAATTAGGCAGCACCACAGCTAGCACTGGGACTCCTGCCTACAGCATCAGATTCTGCACTCTGTCACAAAATCCCTTGCTGCTTCTCAGTCCTGTATGTATGTAATTGCTCTCTCCCAAAGAAACACCTGCCAGCACTGGGGCTGGCTATGCAGCCCTGAGTAGCAGAGCAATTCAAAGGGGTGGGCAAGGCTGCCTGGGGTATGAAACAGCTGAAAAGGGTAGTGCAGCCAAATCTGACAAGCAGTAAGAAAAGTCAAAAGTTATCAGGTCCTGAAGGATGAAGACAAGTTCTAGAGAGTGAAAAAAAAAATCCATGAGTTAATGTAACCTAGATAAGTAACTTGCTTTTTTCTCCTCAGGGCCTGTAGTCCACATTCCCCCAAACCCAATTCACTTGGTTTTTAAATCAAGTTTGATAACTTAAGTGTATTACATAAATAAGTATTTTAAAAGCAAGTTCGAATCTAGTTTGTATCAGTTTGAGGAGAGAAAGAGGGTAACCAGGACAAGGAGGAGAAAAGGGAGGAAGAAATAAATATATCAAGGAGGGGGTTGTGTGCAAACAGGTGACCTACGAAAGAACCCTAGACCTTTGGCACTAACAAGCTGCTTCTCACACAGAAAAAACGTATTAGCCCTGATGGGAATTAGCTTTTCAAACACAAATGACTTACACAACCACCACTCAAAGTTTAGTTCCCTACTCATAAATCTTCAGAAATTCTGAATAACGTATCACAGGGGTGTCATTTCATGGGCTGCTTCCTGGAGCCCAGCTTTGGAAGGCTGAATGCACAGCCCTCTGCCACCCCATCCAAGAAACTCCCCAAGGCCCAAAAGGTTTCATGCACCAAGTGTGCCCCCCCACTCCAGCCATCAGCAAGTAACTAGCAAGGAGGGTCTACATGGCACCACTTAATGTTTAACCAAAGATGAAACCGCTATCGTGAAGCTTACAAAACTTCAGTTATAGATAACAGAGTAATCGAAGATACAGATTTTAAATCAAATCAAAAGGAAAAAAGGTTTAAAAGATCAGTTTTCGGTTTTAACTGGAGAATTGACAGTTTCGTGCGGACCACACAATGTTCCACCTATAGCCCCCCAAAAAGCAGAAAGACACTAATTGCTGCTCCAAACTGAAAATGAAACATTGTAAACCAGGAACCACGCCTTGCAATTTTTCACTTTCACTTTTGTAATAAATTGATCTACGCAACCTTTACCCAGAGCTTCTCAAACACACACACACACACACACACACACACACACACACATATACACACACAAAATACATTAAATTTTTTCTTAGAGTAATAAAAGGTTCTGTATTTAAAAATAAGAGTTAAGGGAAGGTGAGAAATAATCAGATCGTCAAGGTTCGAGAAAATGAACCGTGTTCTCTCGTTAAATAGCAAAGAAAATCAGGCTTTGATTGCAAATAAAGCCCAAGTAAAACAGCTGGAATAACTGTGTTATGATTCAAGCTTTCTGTTTGGCTAATTTTAATGAATACATATATTTCTGTCTCCCATCAAAAACAACACTCAAAAAATGTTTAAATACCTCACCACCCCTGCCCAGCCCAGCGCAAAACTAGGGCCCTGCAAACCGCCGGCACGTCCCGAAGCCCCAGCCCGCAACCCCCGGTCCCGGTCCCCGTCCCCGTCCCCGGTCCCCGTCCCTGCCGGGCCTCTGCGCGGGGTGCCCACCGCCCGCCGCTGCCGCAGCGCCTGATTCGGGCGGGGGAGGCGTCGGGATCGCAGCAGGGACGGGGGTAGCCAAGCCGCGCCGCTGAGACCCGAATCCGGGACTAGATGCTTGGCCGCTGCCGCCTCACCTCGCCACCAGAGTGCCCGCCGAGTGCCCGGATGCGGCAGCGGCCACCGTTTGTTTTCATTCCGGGTGAGGCCGGCCCGCCCCCGCGCCACCGGGATGAAG